ATATTACATTCCATACTTCACTTCAGTTGTTCCAAAATAAACTACCAGTACCAGCTCATCCCTTCCTTAACAGAAAAGAAATTCTGCAGTTGCGTTTTCCTGAATAATTTCTTGGAGGTTTTTGGCCAGAGTTTTCAAGCTTATTCAGTTTTCCAATTGTAGGCAACTACTACAGGGATGGTGCTGCACAAGATATTGCAGGGAAGCACAACATCCGCACAGTATAAATATATATTTATCTGACATGACACAGGACAAAGAGTCCAGGATTACACTTCAGCACTTGGAAATGCCACCAAGGTCTCCCTTGGAACACAAGCAATCAAGTTAAGATGCAACTCACCTACCTCTCCAAAGGTAGGCAGGACACTGGCAGTGTCCTGATAAATACACAGCGGTTTGACTATAAAAGCATTTAGACTTTCTGTAAAGTTTAGTCCAACAGCTGCAATAATGGCTGTGTAAAAATTCAGTCAAAAGGTTTTCTTACAGTTAGTCACAAAAGCAAATGATCATTAAGAAACAAAAAGCTCAGACTCTCAAATCTTATGAAATTAACTTTTCTGTGTACCTTCAAATCTCTGTAAACGACGTTCTTCTCTGAATGCAGATAATCCAGTGCTGAAACAATCTCAGCTCCATAAAACCGAGCCCGGTCTTCAGAAAAGACACGTTCTCTTGACAGATGGAAAAACAACTACAAGAACAATAATTTGGTATGTTTATGTCATCATGGTTCTGAGTTAGGTACAACACTTTGTGGGCCATCCTGCTGTAAATCTGATATTACTTAAGGGAAAATCTCCTTCCTACCCTAACCCAAATGTTTTTTAATAAATTAAAAGATCAAACAATTATACCTCATACTCACAGATGCTGCATTGTGTGCTCCACGATTTTGTGTACAAAATGATAAAAATACAACTTAATTGATCTATAATTATATATTAAAACTATAGTTTAATGACTTAACACATTGATATTTAATTTTTCCTTAGGTGTCTAACAGTGCTTTCCTATGTTTCTAATTCTCTCTCCAAAATGACATGTGCTCACAATATTAATTAAAAAGTTCTTAAGATATCTCAAGAACGACTAGAAAGCAACCTTTTTTTTTTAAGCTACTAAATGTCAGACTGCAGTATGCTGCTGTCTTACGCAAGATATGAACTTAGGCACAAAATCTGTATTCTCTAAAACTGGAGTTAGGAAAATTGAGTCTTAATGCTTACTAGGCATTCACACTGCAAACAGCTCTGTTTAACTGCGACAGTTCAGATCAACTAGAAGCACAAACACGGAGCCTGCCTAAATAATGCCAAGCAGAAGGAGCAGTAGTTCAGGAAAATCCTAGGTAGTGAACATTATGAGATTTCCCTTACCTCTCCTCCGTTAGCATACTCCATAACAAAACACAAGCGATCATGTGTCTGAAAGGAATACTTTAAAGCCTGAAACAGATTAAACCAAAACTTAGCAGAAAGAACACACTGACAGTTATAAAAACTTTTTGAATAATTTTTTTTAGGAAGATGGACAAAGATGACACTTTGCTTTTAAGGGGACATTTTTTGTCCCTCACACTTACACAGCACTTAATTGTTTCAGCTGAGTACTGATGCACTGCCAACTTACTTTATCAAACATATTGTAAAAAAACATTAAAACATGCCCTCACAGAAGCTAGCACTGCTCCCTATGATCCTGTGGAATAAAATCCTTGCCCATTAACAAGGATATAAAATCTTTTGAGTCTCTGCCCGGGCCAGAGACTCCCACCGCTCCGCCTCAGAGGCGGGAGGACGCTACCAAACCCAAAAGCACCAGGTTTACCCCACTGACTGCAAGCCTGCTTGTCCCAAAGTGGCACACTGACAGCCTGCCAGAGGATTGAGCAACGCTGCCAATATCAATTTGCTGGCAATTCACAAAAACAGAGCAGACAGAGGGTGTGATGGACTGTCACAAGGTGCCTTTGCACAATCATGTCATGTGCATTCCTGTAGCAAGAGTAACATCAGTTTGTTTGCCACAGTCTTAAATTTCTTGATCCTAACCCATTCTCATAGCTGGATTCTCAGGACAGGACGGGTCTTGTTTTGGATATTTGGGTTTATGAAAAGACTCAAAAAAAAAAAAAAAAAAAAAACCACACCACACACAAATGATATCACCACCGTCATTACTAGGGGAGTCATTTTTAAACCGGTTTTATTTTTTCAGAGAAAGGGAGGACTGGGTTTTAGACATGTCAGCAACCACCTACCGACTGTACACAATAAAGCCAATATTTACTTCCATATGTCACGTTTAAAAGGTCTAAATTCCAATTAAACCCTTGTGTACCTGGACAAAGGCAACCACTAGGGTCCTGCACAGGTCTTTGAAGAGCAAGTTAGAGGGCTTAAGCAATTGGAAACAATTTAGAGCCGAATTATAAGATATACTAGAAAAAAAAATATTTGGGTGGAACTCGAGTATCTGAATCAAACCCGGAGACTGTGGCTGTTGGAGGCTCAGACTAAGGGTATGGTTTGATTTTGCAGCTAAGCCAAACTTAGCAGCAGGTAAAGCATGGTCCTGCTCATCCTTATGCCATCACATCTGCTCTCAGCGCTGTCCTTATCCTTGGGCTGGCATTACCAGCACTGTGGCTCCATAGAGGGCCATTTTGGTAACTTAATAAAACAAAACAAGCTTGACAAAGAGAGGGTTAGAAGGTTTTTCACACTCTGCCTTCCTGAACTGGTTTGTCATAAGGTCCGGGTCACCCTTGGTTCTGCCACAAACAGATGACCAAGCATTTGGAGGTCATGGAAAGCAGACCCTTCCCTCAAAGATAGCAAGCTGTTAAAATGGGTGAGCTGTAAAGGCGAAGCATGCTCCAAGACCCTATGGAAAAATCTAATTTCAAGAGGTATTGAGGACCCACTTTGCAAAAATCCAGAGACTCAAAAAAAAGCATTTTAATTTGCACTTGCCAAAAATGGAAGGCTACAAAAATAAACAGCCACTCTGAAAACAGATCTGAAATGTATTACATAAATAACACAAAGCAGGAAAATCTTAGCTGTCATGATGTCAAGTTATGCTAAGAAGAAGTATCAAAAAAAAGAAAGAAAGAAAAATAGAAATACTTACTGTTAAGAATGGGTGCCGTGAGTTCTGCAAAACACGGTTTTCTGTGAGCGTGTGAGCTACTTCATCCTGCAACACAAGCAGCAGGAAATCAGCACTGAGATCCCCCAGGTGAGGGGTCTCTTTTCAAACAGTAATTATTTTCAGGGTATTCAGGTTTTCAGGGTATCCTTGCTAGGACTTGCCATAAGGCAGTATAAAGGGTTAACTGCATTCCCAATTTCTGCATCTACTCACCTTTGCAACAATAACTTCTTTCTTCAAAATTTTCATAGCATAATATCGTCCCGTTGCTTTTTCTTTAACTAAAATGACCTTTCCAAAAGTGCCTTTTCCCAGTAGCTTCAGGTATTCAAATTCATTCATGGTCTGTTAAGGATACAGATGAACAAGAACCAAATTAGATCGACTAACAATAAATACGTTGTCAGACAAACTCCTTGTTCATGTGAGAATATGATGCATGTTATTTAATGATTTTCTTTTGTGCTATTCAGAAACAGAAATTATTCTTTCTTAGAAATGAATATAGCACACTTCCCAAAGACAACCAAACCCGTTAGAGAAAACCATAAACTGCCCATTAACAGACAACTCCTTTACATGGCTCAGTGAATTGTGTGCAAGTACCACTCAACACAGTATTATTAATCTGCAGACATTCTGACCACCTTCTCAGTGCACAGACTCCCGAAGAGGCAGATGTTGCTCTGATTCTACAGAATTAAAACACATCTTTTTTCCTGATATTCCCCACCTCTCTAGACTTCAGCTTCCTTGTGCTCCACTGAAGAGCACCATGGGCAAACCAAACTGCCTCACGGATTATCCATCCCTTTGCTTGTTTCTCTATTAGGAAAAATAATGGGAGAAAAATGAGAATTTACTGAAGGTTGAGGAAAGTCTCTCTTACAGCGCTAATGGCCATTGCCAGTTTGGTTACAGAAGCTTTATACAGACAAAGGCTACTGTAGACTCCAGGAGGAATAAAATGAGGTTAACACAGGTGAGAGTAAATGGAAAGCTATTGGAAAACAGAAACCCAAATAGAGGGTCCTGATAGAACGGAGAGGAGGGAAGGGAGGTTGAAGAGAGATACCTAAAAGGGCTCCACGTATCACAGAAGTAATCATTGCCAGACCTGAGGCCTTGGAACCTACAGCGTGCCGCTGAGCTCAAACCCTGGAGGATCTAGTCAGGCTTTGCATATTCCTGCTTGGCCACTGGCTACACCCACAACTTGCAACTACAACCAACTGTATCATTGTTATGGGAAGAGACGTCTCTTGAGGGATCTTCTTGCCTGCATTCAAGAAGAACTAACAATTCCTTTTCCTACTACGTTCACTTACCACTTTGTGTTTTGGTTTTGTCATAGAAACTTCCATTTCCTCAGCACCTGAATTATCACTGGGAGAGCCAGATCTAAAATCCATCATCTCTTCTTCTTGCTTCTTGAGGCTGTCTGCCACAGTTTGGATGGCTTTTGTCCATTCTTCCCTGGGAAAATTTAAGCAGTGACATTTGTTACTTGTGACTTCAGATTATCACCTGCCACGGCGAGGGTCACCAAGGAATACTGAACATTTTCAAGCACTGTAAAAAGTATTTTTGAGAGCACTTTTAAGATATATCTTTATTAATTATACCCAAAACAAGAGACAACTGAAGACCCCACCGCGCAAGTACAATACAGGGCACTTCAGCAATGGAACTCCTACTGTGCAGTCTTCAGGTCAAGGTATGGCCTGATGATACAGAGATCTACATAACAGAAGCAGACTTGCCAAAACCAAAAAGCAAATGGATATCCCATGCAGCACAGAGCAATTATACACAGTTTCTCCCATTCTGTATGGGACAAAACACAAATACCCTAATGCTGGGGCCATATGCCACCTTATCACGCACATCTTGGATTTTAATGGCAAAAGGTGTTCTATGATACTGTATTAATGCCCAGGATCCTTAGGTTACTCCACTGTTGTAGAGAGGATGACTGAAATACTGTCATTCTTGTGTAAAGTTTAGCAAGATATCAGCAAAAAAACGGGCAATATCTTCATTACTCCCATTACTTTTCAGTGCTTTTTTATTTTTAGGCATGGGTCTTGCTCACAAGAAAGTTTCTACAGCTGTTTCAGCAACTGGTGTTCTAACACTGACCCACATCTACGGAAAACCATTCCCACTCCAGTGGAAGTGTCCTTTAGGGAATTTCACACCTTTGGAAACTCTCTATGTGTTCATGGCATTCACTTCATTTCACTGCAAACCTATCAAACAAAACTGCCAGCCAACTCACAAGGGTTTACAGGGTTTTGGCAAGAGTTTTAAGGCATGCAGGGGCAGAATGGAGCTTCTACAGACCATGCAAGTTTAATGTTTTACTGCCTTTGGTATCTGCAGGGAACAAGATGCAGTGTTTTCCGCTTGCAATGCAACATTTTCAATTTGGACACTGGCTCATCTCTGCTCCCAAGGACATCGCAGGTAAATTGCTCTGTGATTACATCAGGAGCAGAAGTAGTGAATGCTGAACGAGCCCAAGCAAAACTCAAGTACTGCAGAAGCCGTGCCAGCACAGTCACTGTCACATTTCTCGACGGTTCTATGCAACATCCCATTGAATTATTGGATTAAAAAAATAATAAAAAAATAAAAAGTGACCATCTGAATTTCACTCTGGAATGGCTGGAAGAAGTGAAGCATTCCACAGAGGAAACAAAGGCCAGATGAGAAGTACCTGACACCAATATATTAAAAATTACATCAATTGCAGAGAGCCTTCCATGGCCAAATATTTTTTTGAATGTTTTTTGAAAAACAAACTATTTAGTTCTATACTACAGACGCAGTAGGTATCTAGGGAAAATTCCCTCCAGCTTATCTCCAAAAACGGGAGAAAGTCAGCAACACAGAATTACCAGTCTTGGGTTAGAACCTATTTATTTTCTTCAGCTAACCTTCACCTGCAGGATTTGCCTGGAATGGGCTGGTCACCATACACTACCCTGCTCTGTCTGCTGCAGCATGGGAATACAGATCACACAAACCCAGCAGTGCTTCTGAACATCCTCCACGAGCTCCCAGCAGAAACCTTCTGTTCAACATAGTGAACACATCCCTTTTTGTTCTAGTCATTTTTAGTGTTCAGATTTTTTTTCTTCTGCGTTTATATTTCTCGATTTCTCTCAGAAAACAAATTTTGGCTTTAAAGACACCGAGAAAACCAAAGCATGTATCTACTCTCTCATCTATTTTCAGATTTGTTACTGACTTCACTGAGACGGTGGCTTGCCAGAAGTCCACCTGTTTGATTTCTTGGGGACCTGTATTTTACCCTCAGAGTTTATGTCCCAAGTGTTCACAACAGAGGTGACTAACACTCCAAGCCCTGAAGTGTCACACACCTGACTTAACTGGCAAAAAAAGACTGAAATAAAATCTTTCCCCAAGTGGAAATTGTTATTCACTCGCTTCAGGATCACTGACCACAAAGGTACTAAACCAAACAAGATTTTCTCTCTTTTTTTTTTTTTCTTTCCTTTTAACTTGATTTCATCTTCTTCTGAACACTGTAACATAAGCAAAACAATAAAGAGCAACCTTCTTTAAGATACTCCAAGAACATTGGGTTCAATTTGCTGCTCTTGGAAAATAATTTTTAAAAAAGTGTCAGTAGCATATGTATGGAGGACAAGGGTTTTAAATACCCCTTCCCCTAGGGCAATGATACCAGAATAATAGAAATTCAGTTCCTGAAGAGCAAGTAGATATTTAAATAGACCGTAGTTGTAGAATAGCTGTTCTAGAAAACTCTTCCCTCATGAGGAAAGAGACCAATTCTCCAACACGGAGAGCGCAGGAGGCACTGCTCCTAGCTTTGTTTCCTAACAGCTGAAATCGTTATCTGCTGCAGGTGCAGATTGCTATCACCTTTATTATCTAATTTGCATAAAACATTAGCAATCAGCAATGATACAACAAACTTCTTCCTTTAAAAAAGTGTCCTAAAAGACTTTAAAAGGTCAGTATTTTGATACAACTCAACTTTGCCTGAATCTTTCTTTCACGTGAGATCATCCTTCCAGAAATGCTCAGGTCAGAAACCCTTCATTTCACATACAGCAAAACTTCCAGTGAGAAATAAATTCTAAGTTTCCAGAAATAACTACCTGTCTGCTGGCACACAGATGCACCTGTCCTTTTTGGAATGCTGTTAGGTTGGGTATCCATTTCCAAACACCACTCGACCCCACTCTCTGAAAAGCCACCCCCTTTACAAAGTGCCTTTTACACTAGAACAGGCACTAAAAGGAAGACATTCCAATTATCTGTCACTTTGCAGCCTAGACCTCCATCACCTGATAAATAAGAGCTTCAGGAAGGGGCTGACTGTGAATGCTGAACACTTGCAGCTGCTTTCCCAACTAGTTTATGTATTAAATATGAATGAAACATACCGCTCCTCTGGAGTCTCCACATGAAACGTTCTTTCAATTACTGTGGTCCACTGGAGGCATCTAATGATAAATGTGTTTGGTTTAGGTCGCTCTGTCTTCATCAGCTGGCACTCTACCCCAATCAAGGAAGAAAGAGTCATGGTACATAAGCAGGTTTAAATAATCATTTGTCTTTATTCTTATCTAGCAAACTGTTGCAATTAATCAGCCATAGAAATCTCCATAAGTAGTTCTTTAGGAGACTTGAGACAATTTACTATGTTGATGAAACCAATAAATAGCTCAGTAAACAGTCATCTAGGCAGCACTCAAATCCAGCCCTGCTCAGGAAGGCTCCCCAGCTCATCGGCCTGGAAAGGCAAGAAGAAACGTGAGGTGACAGAGAAGCCATTCAGACACATGCAGGTCCTCCACCTCAAAGGTCATCCCGAGCCCAGTGCATGGACAAAGTCATCTGATCACGAGGCACTAATATCCACTCAAATCAAAGCCAATGTTCCACCTCCCCTGCTTGGGATTTTACCGACAAAGCCCTGTCCTTGGCTCTGAAAGAGTCAACAGAGAGCATTTTAGGTCACTTTGCAGTGCCCTGACCAAGACCGGCCTCTAGAGAAGAGCATTTCCAGCCCTCAGACACTAGAGGGAACATCCAACTGCAGCGGTGGCCAGGACAGACCCGCTGCGGAGCGCCCTGGACGGCTGCCGCGGAGCGGGCAGCGCTGCCAGCGCGAGCACGGCCGACACGTTCTGCAGAGAGGGATCCTCTCCGCGCAGCAGCCCCAGCGCCTGCAGTCCAAAATATGTCGAAAAGCCTCTAAAAGGTCCCCTCTCCTGGGAATTGAGCATCGCTTCTATTTCGCATATCTGTTAGTTTAAACTTCATAGGATATTATGAGCATTTACTCCTTAAATTTAGCCCTAACTACACAAAAACAAAACTGAAAAAAAAAGTCAGTGAAATCGTAACTGACAGGCCAAAACACCATTTTTTTTTTCAGAGACTCCTATTGGAGGAAAACCAAAATCAGAAGTGGCCAGGGAGAAAAAAAAAAAAAAAAAGATAAATAGATGTTCTTTTTATTACATTAAAATGTTTTCCTTGCAGTTAATGAAGCCACAAGCTCACTATTATTTAGTCTTAAAGCTCTAAATCAACTTCCAAGCAAATAGATACCATAAATGCCAAGTAAATAGACACTATAAAGACAAGGAGGAATTTCTGCTTACTGCTGGAGCTACAGACATGCTCTACTTTCAGTATCGTAGAAGCTGCAAACAGAATGCAGCCAGAAAAACAGCACACATTACTAAGGCCACACTAGTATTGCTAGGTTAATTTTATTACTGTGGAAATTTTGAGTGCTCAGTTTTAAATTCAGCTTCTCAATTAGCAGCAAGATAAAATATTTACCACAGTGTTTTTGGGTGCTGTACTTTTGGCAATATATTTCATGCCTCATTTGCTGCTGGAATTATCAGCTTTTCAGTGAGTAGTTTTGTATTTTTCCTGACAAGAAAATCTAGTTTTTCTTTAATAGCGCGCAGAGGCTATGCTGCATCCTCTTAAAGCACTGCAAAGAGAAAGTTTATTAATGAGTCATGAAGAGGTTTTAGTGTGATAAACAGCACTCCTTTACTCTCCAAAAGGAGAGGACTCTGACAAAAAGACGCAGCCCTGCTCTCAGCGTGCCACAGCCAGTGCTCCAGCAACCTCCATCATCTTTTGCAGAATGGCAATTAATGCTGAACACAGCGACGTGAGCTGGCACAGCCCCGTAAGCCAGGCCCTGGGAAATTTAACTCCAGAGACCCAAGTCCTGCTCCCAGATCTGCCACCTTAGCTTAGCTCCTGCTCTCGACTGCTGTAACTTTCTGTTTGTCTGGGACTGTCTTCTGTGAGCCTGCCCAATGCAGCCGACACACAACCTGATTCTGGCTGAAGCCTCAAAGAAGGAAAATCAAACTAATTTCTAGTTTCATGCAAATCCAGAGCTGCTCCTTTGTGCTTATCACGAAAGGCAACATTATGAAAAAGCAACTTGAGAGGGGTTTGCTTTCTTAAAGCAACCTTTAGATTTACATTTAGTCTCTCAGAATAAGTATTCTGAAATAGCAGTACAGGTATTTAAGCTAGGCTTGAACTCTAAACTTCAACTAATTCAGCATAATAAACCACACTAGGTGTTTCCTGTCCTAGAAGGAAACCAATTAAATACTCCCACTTTTCCTCTAAATCAGCATTGTCCATCGATACGCGTTAAGCTTGCTGATCCAGCAATCTTTAAGGCATACAGCAAGATAAATAATAGAGATTTGGCAGTTAATAACCACTATAATTCAAGTATGTCACATAGAAGTGTTTTGTTTAGTGAACAATATGCTGTCTAATTACCCTGCTCAATCATAACAGCACATATCAAGAAATACAGACGGCTTTCTTTGTAACTGGCATTACCAAAGTGCTGTGCCACACAGGTTTCCAAAAGTTTGAGGCTATCACAAAGTTCTCCCTATATATAACTTAATCCCATGGAGTTTCATCAATTAAACTATGAAACATTAGGGTTTTTTCTTTCTTACTCTTATAACAAGCTCTGGTTTTGCAGTTTCAGTTGGCAAGCTAGAGAAGGCACCGGACTCAGCTTTTATGACCATGAACAGCAACATGCACCACTAAAGCAAAGTATAAGCGCAGACTCTGTGTAACATTAGGTCTGATCCATGGTGTGTGTGGAGGTTCATGGGCTGAGGGTCGCTTACCCACTTTGAAGACAATCTTTCCTGTCAAAATGCCAACATAAGTATTTCCCACTTGTAACAAAGTAAGTACTATAAACAGCAGCCTGTTAAAAATGATTTAAATTGCTCTAAAGAACCTCTTGATTCTTTCCTGGCGTTTGGTCTTTTAAAGTAAGTAGGACAGAGAAATTGTTCCTAACAGGAATAGACACCAAGGCATTCAAATGTAAATTGCCATTTTGTATTTGAAAGACACTTAGTATTATCCCAGTGACTTTCTAAAATGTCACAATATTTGCTTCCCCAGCACTTAAGCTAAAAGGCAGATTACTTGCGATGAAAGTGTCAAACTCTGCTCCCAATATACTGACATCACACTTTAAACCAATAATATCAAGGAAGAATCTTTCCCATTTCTGCTTTAAGGAAAGGGAAGAAATAAAAAGGCAAGTCAGAACATAAGAATGATGGATAAATAAAACTTTGGAAGAGTAAGCAGGAATATTGCAGAGATGCTGCTTTTCTCTCAGAGCTACTCAACAGATTTCCCCCTGCAAAGCACGGCACAAGGGAGGACCCGGGAGGCCAGGCTTGGAGATGCCCCAGGACCAGCAGAAACAGCAAACGCGGCTGCTACAATCCCGCCGTCCTGCACCGGATAAAAGCTCGGCCACAGACGCACGTTCCTGGCCCCAAAGCAGCTCTGCTGTTGCTGAGCGGTGAGGTTTTCTGCTGGACAGTCAAACCACCACCGTCTACCTTCCTTTTTGACAGCGGAAGAAATAATCCCTCTTCCTAGCAGGGATGAGCTCTCTTTCCAGGTCATTTTTCACACTATACTATCCTTTTCAGCTATGTAGTTTAAAGTGCCTATAGCCTTACAGGTAGACACACACGATACTCAGTTACAATCTGCATGAAGGCTACCTAACAGATTTACAGCACAAGGTCTGTTGGTTATTTATCTGCAGGGTCTGTGCGGCATAAAAAACTATTTAGGTAACTTCACCACTAAGCAGGAATAAAAGAGCTGTAAAGAACATGAACTCCAACGCGACTCAAAAAAGCCAGTTAGATACTGAGTACATTTAGGCACCGGCTTTCAGAGATTAAATAAAATTCTTAATAGGCAACTTCTGAGGAAAAATAACCCCTTAAGCATATCACTGGGCTACAAACATAAACGTATGGCTATTTTATATAGGAAATTATGTACTAAAAAAAAAAGAAACCGAGCCTCTCTATCGCGAGAGCTCTCTCAAAGTTTTCATAGACATACGATCAAAACCACCACAGACCGAAAGGAAAGGCTGGTTTCAGATAAACTGCTTCAGGAAAAGACTAACTGGTAGGGAAAATAAATTATCATTAGCTAATGCTACCTTCTTTCACTGTTTTCTCCTCAACTGAGTATTCTTATCTCTCACTAGTTGGCAAAGATCCTTAACATGAACATGACACTGCACGTGAAAATAGTCCCCCAGTCATGGGGAGAGGGATGGGGGACTTCTACTTGCACTAACAAAGACAACATGGTTTTACAGCAGAAGAGGAAAAAGATTTTACACAGAAGCACGGGACCACTTCCAAAGAACAGACTGACAGCGACAGCCTGCCATCTCATTAAAAAAAAAAAAAAAATCTAGTTCACTAATTAACAAAAAAGTCAGGGCTTCCATGGTCACATGAAGAAAAAAAAAAGTGATGAATTTTTACAAAGCATTTAAGCAAAATCCACCCCCACTTTTGCTGGCAGCTGCCTTCTGCAGGCTCTGTCTGCTGTGTGAAATCTGCATCCTGGCCTGTTCCTGCAGGGCTGCAAAAGTTAGTCCAAGTGCAAGCAGGTTCAAAATGAAGAGCTGTGCAAAAGAAATCTGAGTGATAAAAGTGGGCAACTAGAAGGGAACCTCACATCAGATACTAACAGCACTGCACATCACTGCCTATAGGAAAAATAAAATCCCCATGAGGCAATAACCTCTTCAGTGAGACAAAAACCACTATTGTGGCTTCCAGCGAGGAGGCCTTCCCGCAATCAAGGCCTTCTAGCCCCAACGACTGGATTGCCACATAGGGGCCATTGCTTCCTAGGAGCATCCTCCCATCTACTCTTTTCCCCACAGTGCCACTAAGGGGGCTATACCTTATTGCAGAGGCATGAGTCTCCTTTTCTTGAGGATGCTCTGAAACCATGGCAACAACTTGTTTATATATTAATGTCAAGGCTGATGAGCTCATTTTGCCAAAAAAGCAACTCATTCCTGTTGTGAAAATCAATTTAAGTTAACCCTTTCTGAAAGCAACTTGCATAAAGAAAAAGGAACACACCTTTTTTTAATTCCTTAGCCCTGAGTTGCAGAAAATAATTACTTTAAGTAATGCAGTTAACAGCAAAGGAGGAATCAGTGTCCTGCAAAAAGTGCATTTGTTAAAAGCTTCTGGCTACAGACCAAGTGTTTTAAAAGATCATCTATGAATTAGCAGCTTTCTGTTGCTTTTCTTTTCTTTCCTGATTCATAAGGAGCTAGCAGTCTAAAAGAGGAAAGTACCATATCCTTACTGAGGTGCACAGAGCACATCCATTTTCTCACCAAAATGGTTCAACGAGATAAAAATGCCCAAAGCACTCTTGGCATTTGGTGCTGGTGCAGTCGGCAACAGAATGTCCATTATTAATTTCCAGTCAGTATTAGAACTTGATTTAAATATATATATATATAAATGTACACACACACACATACATTGGGATGAGAGGGTATTGAAGTCATCAGATAAAAATGAAGTTCTGCATTAATTCCTAAGGCTGCTTTGCCCTTTTCCAGGCACAAGGTGTTCTAAAATGTAACTGTTAGAAGTTCACGTATAAAGGTGGTATTGCAAACTACCCTGTCACGAAGAGGGAAAACTACACGTCTCGGTGCAGGACTTCCTCCCCACCAGTGACAGGAACACAGAACGAGATCATTGTTAATAAAAATAGATCACTGTGGCACCTGTTAAGTTGTGGGATGAAACACAGGCAGATCATGAGACAGGAAAGATTAAAAACAAGAGAAAATAAAAGCTGGAAATATACAGGGAAAGGTTAAAAACATGTGCAAGAAAAGGAAATTCTCTTCAGGTTCTCCTATTGCATTCTGTGCTGTGCTGGAAGACCTGAGCACAGTCGGAAATGCCTTCATAGGACAGAGTGCAGAGGTTGGGAGATTTTATTACTTCCAAACCTTTTGTTGACTAATAAAAGAAAAATCAGCTTGCTTTCATTTTTTTAAATGAGTATTTCATTAAATTTAGTGCTCAATCCATGTTCTCTTATAACAAAGAATCTATGTTAATGCCATTTGAATCCAAACCTGATTGCAGAACAGAGGCTGAAAACACTTAAGCTGTGTTTACCTGCCAAGTACCGAGACATGCATGTGGGTCAAATTTTACTTTAAAGCCAATTGCTGAAAAAGACATACAAAATACTAATATATTCATTTTATTTTACAAGTCAAAACTGTAAATCGGTAGCAAACTGCAAAACTCAGACATGGATTGAGCATCCATACATTAAAACTACTCGTTACATTCATTGACAAAACTGCTTTTTTTTTTTTTTTGTTACATTCATTGGCAAAACTGCTTTTTGTTTTGTTTTGTTTTAAATCACCTCAAACACAAAAAGTAGCATTTAGATAGATTGCCTGTTTTGGGCAGATTTGAATGGGATTGATGCTGCTTACCAGCACTACAATTACAAGAAGCGATCAACCTCCAAACCGGATGAGGGAGCACATAAAAACACTTACGAGCTACCGAGAAGTTATTTAAAGGCGATTCCCGTTGGTCAACATCCTGTGGTCGCTCCTTGTAGCCGATGAACGTGCCGTCGTTCTTTAAAAGAAAATACCGTGGCCTCCATGTCTTTATGTATTCTCCTGGAAGAAAAGAACAGGCAAAGGGGACCATCAGAAAATACCCCAAACACAGACTGGCCTGCAAGGACTCCTACGTACTGCTAATTCAGGGTGATGTGTAGTTTCAGAGGCTTTAAAAACATTCAGTCCATTCTGATATGAACAATAGAAAAATACAGATGCCGAGTCGGATATTGCTAGTGATGTTAGCCATAAAAATGAGACTTCATAAAAGGTAAAAAGCTATGTTTTGTTTTTCTATCTATTCCTATTTCCATTCCAATTCTGCAACATCTGCCTTAAATGCATTTTAAAGTTTGAAAAAAATCAGAGCAGATGTCCTATGTATTATTTCTGCTATTGTCATTTTTCATACTGACAAGTGGAGAAATTTTTTTCATTTACATTTTGCAGCGCAAGTATTTTAAACAACAATGGGTAATTTACTAATTAGTCAACTGCTTTATCAAACCAACAGTCACTTTTGGAACATAAAAAGATAATTCTCTGCTTAAGTTACATAACATCACTCACTCCTCTCACAATATCTCAAGCATGAAACATGAGATGATATATCACAATATGAAGGGGAAAACACTAGATGATGTAGAGCCACCAGGAAGATTAAACCAACCATCTATTCTGAAAAATACCTTTCCCTTTGAGGAAAGCATCCCTTGATCACACCATGCTACTGCTCATCTGAGTAATTCCGCGCAAATAACAGTCACATAATTAGATTACTGCCAATTTCAAAATCCCCAGCAGTAGAATAAAAAGAGCAGATTAAAACCTCAGTTATTTACTGGATTTACTCCTCAGCCCCAACCTGGGTCTTCTTTGTGTGACTGCACAGGTTGGTGGGCCTCTGTTTCCCTCTTGCTCTTCATCCACGTCATCATCCTCTTCACCAGTCTCTCTGGAGTCTCAACTAGCTTCACATGAGCAAGTTGGGCCCCTAGGTCCCAAAAAACCCTCCAAAAAGCAACACCTGTTTTAGGCTCTGTTACAAAAGCTGTGACTGGGGGGCTATTCGAGACAAGGTTTCAACCTTGCTTTGCAGACCTTTGCTCCTACCACCGCCAACGGCTTAAAGGGTTATTATAATGAAATAAGATGGTGAAGAGATCCCTAGGAAGTGTCCGGGCTGGACAGGAGCTACACCCTCCAACAGGGCTTCGTGTTTGCTCTTTGTGTTTGATTGCCACGAGGGAGAGGACGGGGGAGCAGGCAAGAGGCAGCTGGGAGCTGCGCTCTCTTCAGCTCCACAGGGAGAGGGCCAGCCCGGACACCTGCCCGAGGAAGGGCCTGGAGCAGCCCCTGTGGCAGCTCCGGCCACGGGCTGGCTCTGCTGCGACAAGAGCAGCGAGAAGAAACGCCTCCCGCCACTTACAGGCCAACCTTCAACTGTTCCTTCTAAAACAAGAGAGCAGGAGTGAGCGGAAGGGAGCGGGGATTTGCGTAAAGGCTGAGCTGGTCTACTTGGAATAGAGGCTGCATGTGCAGAAAACATCTATTTGCACTGATGGAACAGCAAAACATCACTACACAGAAAGAGAAATATGAGAAGAGAAGAAACAGATAAATGGCAGTTTTTAAGCAAGTCTGCTCCCGCTGCAGGTTACACGTCGCAGTGACCTGCACGAGGCTCACAGAGAAGACGGACACGCACGTGCGTTGAGGATTGCAGGAGAGCTCACCTACAGCGGCCACGACTTCATGTTCAGAGACAAGCAGTCAATCAAGAAGGTTTTGATGTCTCTTTTTTCTTCTTTATTCTGACCTTAATTAAAAGCTGGTAACTTTCTGGGCTCAGGAGCCGATTATGAAACCTTTCGCATCCAAACCGCCAGGGCAGTGAGATTATCCCAATCTCATTACACTGCAGTTGTAACTGTGGGATAAGGAATTCCCTAGCGGGCTGCGTCTCGCTCTCGCTGGTTTGCCAGGCACGCGGATCACGGCAGGCAGCTGTCTGGGTCATCGTGGGTTTGGAACACGTATGGGACATACCTTGGAGTCTGGTACTTTTCTTTCTCTTTCACAAAAGAAATATGGCAATGGCTAATCTATACTGGCATAGCCTGAAAACACCTTCAGAGGGTGAACAAACTACATTATCTCACTAACGAAGTGCAAAATTAACTCACCCTATGTCACAGGGGAGCTAGAAACATCTTAGACTCCTCCTTGTATCTGCATTTGTGATTGAAACCAAAGTAGACGGGAGGAAAAGGAAAAAAAAAGATCAGCAGATGGACAAGGCAGGCAGCTTCCTTATTCCCTCATCTATGCTACAAGTCTTCCCAAATGGCATTTACAGAGGAGACATTTACTACTTTTACACCATCTGAAATTGCTCTCTGATTGTTTTCAGTGAAGCACGCATCATTTTACACACTTACATGCAACTGCCACGAGACTTTTGCTCTCCCTTATCCTATATTATATTTTATTACATGTTTACGTTCTGCTCCCATTTTCTTACTGCTTTATTCCACCGACCCATTTGTTTGTTACATATACAACATTCAATAAGATTAATCACAGTCTTCAGAATGGTGTATTCCATATCTATGCCATCCTACTCCACACTTGCTATCATTCACCATTTACACTTTCTACGTGAAAAAAATGAAAAAGATTTCATTATTATCAGACATTTCACATGGACTATTTCACTCAAACCTTTACCTGTTCATCATTCTAGCTGCTTCTGGTTCCTGATCTAGCCTGCTAAATTGCAAATTAGCAGTAATATTTTAAACTTCTTTCCACATGTCTGGAGCTTAATGAATCTTGAAACGTGGTAAACCTAAATATTATTGGTTATTGCTCTCATAAGGTGCATCAGTACCCATGACTAAATTGCCTGCAGCAGCAAAATGTACACTGTAGAATCTATAAGTTCATTATATAACACACTGAGGTTATACTTCTAAATCTTGCAGCAAAAAATGGCATACCACCGCCTTGTCTGTGACTGCACGATCAGCTAACCTGCAAGTAAAGCTTTATATTCATACCTAAACAAACTCTCATTCCTCGCAGAAGCTCTGAAATGCAGATTTGCCAACACACTCATGAGAAAAACGTAAAAAGTGCATATCATAACTGGCACTAGTTTTAGCATAACTGCTAAAACACCATAAACTTCCTACAGCCTGCAAGGAGAAGCAAACTGACCGTCAAAATCTCAGTATTTTAGGCAGAAAACAAGTTTGTTAACATAAACAAAATGTAACTGTGGAACTGGTAGGACAAAGGTGACTGAAAAACACTAACACCTTTTCCTTCCTCAGTAAGCTGTCATTGCCTGAAGAACGAACAGAACTATTTGGATTTTTGCCCTGTTTTTTGTTCTCATTGGGGTATCGTTTTTAAGACTATAAGCAAGTTAGCTGTAGTCACCACTAACCTTAGTTAGGTAGTCTTACTGTAAGGAATTCGTGAAGTACAGTAAGGGCAAGCATGTGCAGTGAACCTACTCGACAACAGTAAAAAATGATGATGATGATGATAATGATGCACCATGGAAAACTGAACAATTTACAAAGCAAAACATTTTTTCCTCTGTGATTCATTGCTTGTGTAATGCCCTGGCAGAGCTTTCTTTGTTTTCAGTAACAGAATGCTAACACTGCAGACACAAAAAAGCAAGAGCACGGGTTATAAATCCTACATATAAAACTCCAGCATCAAATAGACTCCTCTCAACTTGCTAGCTTTATTATTTAAAATCTTTATGTACCATTCTGTTTACTCAAAGCAATTTTCAAACTGCAAAAACTCCCAAACTGTACATATCTGCAAACGTACGTGAAGATTGCTAAAGACCGATTTCACTTTATTGCCTTGTCTCAGCCCTCATACTGCACATTACAACATTTAATATACACTTTCAACGTAAATCTATCTTACGCCAAAAAAGCGTTCCACAATGAGATGTGCTGCAATGCACGCTTACATGTGAATATTTCTGAAAGTTAAACGCTAAACTCTTTTTGTTCATAAAAAGTTATTTCTGCCGAGGATTTACAATAGTGCAGGGGTAGGTTATTTTCCTCTCCTCTGTACAACAGCGTGTCCCCGAATCTGGAGCTGTCTGCCTCTGATAGAGTGTCTAACATCAGAAACAGCTGCCACTCCCTGGGAAGCTTACGGGGTAAGTGGAGAATAATGAGCAGCAAGCACCAGCAGAACAAAAGAAAATCCATCTTTATTTACCAACTGCTGCATGCTTGTTGCTGCATCAAGCTCATTCAGCGCCAACACCACACCCTTTAATTCAGAACAGACTATATTTAAGAAGCCTTTGCTTTTCTTTAAGCCATTGGTATGTATGAGATGATAAAAAATAGGTTAACTTGAGCAAGCATCCAGGGATATTCCCCATCCTTTGGAAAAGGTCTGGTCCCACTGTTAGCTTTTTTATGCTCCAAAGCAAGGAGAAAAAGGCCAGGACCCTCAAGTGAACAAGGTCTCAGTTATATTACGTGTGTTCGAGTGGCTGCTACAAATCCATAGATAAATAAAGCATCAAGAGCAGCACCATTCATTGCAACTGAAGTTAACACTCCAAGCGTCAGAGCTCCGCGAGGCTGCCTGGCGTTCCCACGCGCTCGGACAACGCGCCACATTCCTCGGCCCCGCAGCACTTGGCTGCTCGAGCGCAACGCCAACGTTACACCAGCTACGGGGCCGACGAAGCCCTGCTCCAAGGCAGCCTGATTCGTTCCTCGATCTCCAGTGGCAGCGAGAAGTCACCTGCCTAACGAGGTCCGTCAAAACGGACACCGCTTCCTCAGAGGCGAAGCTTTCAGAGGCTGCCATCTCGCGCATGCCGGGAGAACGGGGCACGGATCTGCAGGTAGCTGCAGGTCTGCTGCTCGAGTAAATATTGCAGCTGTCCAGGTCCCTAAAAATCAGCTGAAACCAAGAGAGATTTGAGGAAAAATAAATAAATAAAAAACACAAAGCGGGTTTGAAAGTCATCTTTGCATTTTGAAGCCTCTTGGAAA